TACAGACACCCTGAGATGAAAATTGAACATCAATTCGTATCACTTGAGAAGCCGTTTTCTACACCCCCAGCCCCTACCTGTCAGATTGATCTACTGTGTAAGTGCAAGTTCCACTTGAAATGTAAAGATAGGTCTGCTATGCATGTTAATTGCATTATTGTTTCCACAACAAAATTGTCAATTCTGATTGGTTCTTGGCATACCTTAAAGTATTTGGAAAGACTTAAAGCACGATCACAAGGACGTCAAACTTGCTCACTGGAATTTGGCACATACACTATTTGCACATCAATCATATGCAATTAAATGAGTTTCTGCTGTTTCTCTAGCGTTTGTAAAACTGATGAACATTCCAGACTTTTTATTTTGTGTATGATATGATTAATTCTAGTAGTTGGTCACTGACAGGCTCAGGTTCAGATCAGGCTCAGGTCAGATGAAAATGAGCTCCAGGGAAAATTTCTCCCTTCATGCTTTGGGAGTCGTGTCCAACACCGCCTGTGACGGGCTTTAAGGGTCGTATTTTATCACTCAATCATTAGAATGATACTCAATCATTAGAATGATTTCGATTACCTGAAATCCATCAAAGATAAAAAAGAATGACATAAAACGGATAGTCTTTTTGTATAACAATAACACATCTCTGCAAGACAAAATGAACAAAAGTCTAATTAGCTACAAAGTAACCTAAGAGGCAAGTCAAGAATTCCTTGGCCAAATTAATTTGAAGCTCTCATCTGTGATCAGCATCTCATCATAAGACTGATGTTCTGTGGGCGACGTTTGAGTCAAACGCCTTACAAATTTAAACCTTCCAACATTTTCTTCATGTTTAATCCAACAATTTCCTGATATTCATCTGTACATCGTGTGCTAGTCAGCCATTTATTACCAGATCCACTTGGCCTATAGATAATTATATTTAATTAAAGAGAGTAGCTGCGTTTTGCCCAAGAATACAACATAACCCAACTCTATAGTCAGGCCTGACTAGGAGTCAATCATGATAACATGTGTCTCTTTCAGGGTTTTGCACACATGACAGCACTCCACCTTGAATTGAAAGTGGGTGGACTTATGGACTCCAGATCATGCAGTCTGGGTTTTAGCCCTAAGGCCAGGGTCTTGGTACTGTCTTTTTGAGCAAGACACTCTACTTTCTGACATAGCCTCACTCCACCAAGATGTATAAATAGCTTCTGGTAAACTGAATGCTGGGGATAACCCTACAATGGACTAGCATCCCATCCAGGGGAGAGTAGAAATACTCCTAGTTGCTTAATATGTTATGGGAAC